ATTGAGTCATTTAGGGTAAGGTTTTAAATGTCGGTATTAATGGAATGTCTCAGTTTCATGGAAATATGGATAGAAAAATCGATAGAATGTCGATGTCGATAGATATTTTTGAAAAAGTTAGATAAATTAAAAAAATCGTAAAAAATATTTAAATGAACCAATAAACATTATTTTCTGTTTCTAAATACGTTAAAATAATATATTATGTTGGTTTTGTTGATATTTTTCATATTCTGTCAACTTTTTTTTAATATTATGAAAATATCAATTTATCCCTCATGTCGATATCGAAAATCTATAGATGCACGAAAATTTCAATAAAATGTCGATATGTTGACAACTATTTAATACCATGATCAGTTATGGAGTGAGTTGATTTATTATTTCATAAATTAGTAAAACCAATGGTTATTAAAAATAAAATTATGACTGCGAAGTATTGAAAATAAAATTTAAAAATAAATAAATAATAGCATAAAACCACAAAAACTAAAAATATGTTAAATACTCCATTTGAAAGTGGTCGTTGACTGCACAGAGAATTTGACCACAGCAATCGAGACTTCATTGACACGTGGCTTTGACGAATCTGAACAGTGCACTCCGCCGCACACGCACGTGCTGACGTGTATGCACTGCTCACAATTTCAGCGAGTTAAATGTATTTAATATTTTTAGTATTTTATTGGCAAAATTTCAATTTTAACCTTAAACCATTTATTTTATTTAGGCTTTGTTTACTGATTAAGAATCGGTTAAAAAATCGAAAAGAATCGGTTAAAAATTCGAAAGGGTAAAATTTATGTCCATACTCTTACTTGAAATGTCATTGAGAAAATTGGATTGGTTATATTCCCTTTGGTTAAATAATGTTGCTAGTGGAAACATGTCTTTTTGAATTTTTTTCTTTTCTTAAAAGAGGAAAAAAATAAAATAAAATCAACAATTAAAAACCAATAAGAAATGAAAATACGATGAGTTTTTAGAATTGAAATAAAAAAACTCATAGAGGTTGTACAATTACACGGATACTCATTTACAATTACACGAAAATCAAATATATAATAATTACACAAAATATAACAATTACACGGATACTCATTTATTATTTCTAGTTAATTACAAAGTAAAAATTGTGCTAATATTATTTTTAATTAAAACCACAATAAAATTTAATTTATTATTATTATTTTATTGATAGTAAATATTTATTATTATAATAATTTATTTAATATTAATCTGTAACAAATACTTTAAATAAATTTAAATCTTTTTTTATTAGAACATTCATCATTTATATAAAATATTATTATATTTTATTATTATAATATTTAATAATAGTGAATTCCATTTCAACAATTTTATTGATATGAATTAGTTACAACAACGTAAAATTAAATAGAAATTTTTAATATTTCATAATAAAATTACATGAATCAATGAAATTTGTAAAAATATTTATTAGAAAAAAAACGATTGAGAGTATAAATAAACAAAGAAAAAATGAAATTACAAAACAATTAATTAAAAAGTCATAAGTCTCATTAATAGATAATAGAAAATAGTAAAAATTGTAAAGTAATTATTGAAAATATATCGAGCCAAAAGGAATAAGGATTAAGAATGAATGATGGAAATTAATAAAGAATATAAAATTCAAGTAACAAAATGGTTTATATTATAACAATAAAAGCTTAAATTTACTATACGTGATGTGATAGACTGTTGGATTGACTAAATATAATAAAAGGGTCATGTCCATATTTTATTTACGATATTGAACATAATTTAAAGTTTATAAGTGTTTTGAAAATTATAGAAAATGTTCAAACTTGACCATAATTGATAGGTCAGAATTGACTTAATAATGAATATGTTACATCAAAATTTATGGTTGCGTGAATTTTTTATAAATTTAGAGATTAAATAGGTTTAAATATTGGAGTTAGAACATATAATAATTTAATTTGTAAAGTAATTATTCAACAAAAATTTTCACTATTATGTTATTCATTCCACAATGATTGTATATATTTTCTTTCTCATATTTGGAAAGTGCCTTTTTTGTTACATTGTACCTCAATTATTCAGTTTCTTAATTAAATGATTTTTGCCCGCACGTTTATATGGAAATCCTTTTTAAATATTATTATTCATCTTTTACGTAATTTAACTAACTGTCTTCATTAATCATCTTTATAAAATTAATGGAATTTTTTTTTTAGTTTTTTAAAGCTTATTTTATATATCTAAACTTGTAATTTCAATATTGCAATTTTAATAAGGTGAAAAAGAAACCAATTTGCATGTCCAAATGAGTTCTTTCAACAAATTATTTCTCTAAAAGTGACCATTTTAGTATCTATTTATAAAATTTAAAATTTTTTAATAATTCAAGAAATTTAATGAGTGGAATATTGTGCTGAAATTTTGCTAAGATAAATGAGATAGAAATAAGAAGGAAGGGATAAAAATGATAACTTTTGGATAAAAGTATAAAAACAAATTTAAAGTAAAAACGTGGGAAATGGAGGGTGAATTTCCCGTTGATTCTTGACAGGTCGCGGACGAACGGAACGGAATCTGACAAAATCTTTTCCTCATAGAAACAAGTTTATTATATTAAAATCACATTAAACACGGTTAACAATGCTAAATGTTAATCTATATTAAATTTTGAATTTATTTATTATTATTTATTTATTTCCGTTTCCTTTCCACGTGAACTGAACTCACGAGCCGATTTTCATGCTAACCCTTAATGTTATTTTATTTTATTTTTATAAAGCTAACCCTTCATTTAGGCAGGAAAAATAATTATTTTCCAAATATATAAACCTAATTACAAATTAGTTTAAATTTTATTGTGGTCCCTATTATTGTTTATTTCATTTTATTCATCTCGAAACTTTCAAACCTCCTATTCTATTTGAATTTTGAAGTTAGAGAAAAAGCAAACCATTCTAGGCAAATTTTCATGTACATGATGAGTAGATGTTTACTTTTTATTTTTATTTATTTATTTTCTCTGTCTTATCAAATTTGTCATTTTATTTCATGATTTGTAAAAGTTTTTGTTGGATTTTTTTTCAATTAAATTCCTATTACATTTGATATACATAATAACAAATGTTGACGCATAGTGGTAAGTGACATCTATTCATTCTATTTGTTGTAATAAAAAATTTGATATATATAACTTAAACAAGTTCATACAATGCCGGTATGATTAAAAAAATTAACTGTAGGAAACTAAAATAAATATTTTTTAGGCAAAAAAAAAAAGAAGAAATCTATATGTCTCAAGAAGACTTGCATATATAAAAATCAATATAAAATAAATATAAAAATCTAGAGTTAAAAATAATTTAAAGAAAAAAAAATCATTTTCTCAAGTCTCTCAAGTTTTTGGACTGAATAATCATTTTTTAAAACCTATATTTTTTTAACTTTTTGTGCGTATCACTTTACATGCCAACAACTTTTTCATGGTAAAAAAGAAATTAAAAAAAAAAAAAAAAGTGGAACCCTGCTAGAAAATTTTACTTTACAATAATACAGACTCCAAAAGGAGAAAAAAAAGTGATTTTTAAAAATGCCATTATGGTGGGATTTGATTGATATAATGTTACAAAATAATGAAGGGTGATTAAGGATACTTTATTTGATTTGAGGTCTTGGGTGGAATAATATTGGTTTTAATCAAAATGGTTTCTTTTATCATCTCTCCATCAAATGCTTATTGTAAATTCCAATTTCATTTTTCATAAATGTAATGAAATTATTTTGACTTAGAACACTTATTAAAGTGGGATTTGATTCATCTTTAGTAATATTTATAAGGTTCATTTTTTCTTTTGACTATTGTACTTCATTACAAAAATAATATTACCATTTTAAATAACGAAAATGTGACATCCTAATTTTCTAACGAGGACATTTTTTAAATTTTGGTGGTTTTATTCAATTTGTGTACGTAGAGGGTACCATTATGAAAATATCAATTCAAGAGATATGTTTAAATTTTGATTTTTGATTTTTGATTTTTATCTCTCATTTCTTTATTATGGAAGTGAATTATTATTTACATGTTTTCAAACTATTATCGGGGAGGTTTATGTCTATGTTTGTACATTCAAATTATGTGGTATAACTCTAATTAATGCGTTAATTTTTCTATCAAAACGAACATAGCTTAACAGTAATTGGCATCTACCTCTGGTTGCGAGTTCGAATCCCTACCCCACATGTTGTACTAAAAAAAATGCATTAATGTTTCTTCATGGTTTCATAATATATAGGAATTGAGGTAGGCATTATGGTTCATTTATTAGATTGAATTGCATATTTAATAGTAACACACATGTTTTTGCTAGATTTTTTTTTTCAAAAAAAATTTAACTATTCTTTAGCAAAATTATTTTATAAGTGCTGTCTATGGTGTATATGGGCTTTGATGAATTGGGCCTACACACAATGAAGCAAACAAACTTCCATATTCCAATCATAATTTAAGTGGGTGAATAAATTTCGACGCCATTTTAAAATGGTCATTAATTTAAATTTTGCACAACCTCATGTAACATTTTTACAAAAAAAAAATAAAAGAAAGAAAGAAAGTTCATATAATCTATGTCATCTTTTATCCTGAAAATTTATCTTTATATTACAAAATTCAAATAAATTATATTCTACTTAAACATAACTCAACTTTTTAAAGTTAGTGCCCACTTGAATGATAATATTTTATAAAAAAAAAATTATAATAAATCGAGTGAGCTACTAAATAGAAAAAGAAAATATAAGTATATTTTAAAATTTACTAGTCATTATTCGATGAGGTACTAAATAATTTTTTTTCAAAAGTAAATTTTTTATATGTAGTCTTTTTTTCGTTATACTATGAAAATATGGATTAACCATCATGTCCATGTTGTACTCCTAGACATGAAAATGTCAATAGAAATATCGACATGTCAATAAAAATTTTAATAATTCAATAATTAAAATCACAATGCATCTAATTGATCGTTCTCTTATGAACATATGGGTGTATCATTACAAAGTTTTGAAATACAAATTCTTACAAGATTAGTTTACATCAAAATGGTATTTGCCCATTTGATCCAAGTTCTTGTGTTTGTCCCACAAATGACTTTCTTTTGCAATTTCTTCCAATATGTCCAAACTTGAAAGATAATTAAGCTACCCTTTATTGAATATATAACTTATTCTTCTTCTTCTTCTTCTTCCCTTTCCCTTGGGACAGCCCCAAAATGCTTTACAAGAATGTCCACAACTAAGGGCACCAAGTCCTTACAAGGGACAGCCTTTTTGTAAACATCTCCCAAATGTGAGTCACTCCCAATTCTCCCTCCCAAGAAAACATCAACTCCTTCACAAGGCTTCTTATTCTCATCTCTAGCCATGCACCCCATGAAGCCAATATCAGCCACTTGAACCTGTCCACAGCTATTCGGGCACCCGGTCCAGTGCATCCTCACGGGTCGGGTCACCGCCACCAGCCGCTGCACCTCCTCGGTCACCTTCAAAGCCCTGGCCTTGGTCTCTATGATGGCTTGTCCACAGAATTGGTTCCCAGTGCAGGCTACCAATCCCTTCATAAGAATAGGGGGCTCCGGTGAAAACTTGTGTTTCAACAGAGGCTCTTGGAGCAGAGCTTCTATCTTTGAGTTCTCAATGTTGGGAATAATGATGTTCTGTTCCACGGTCAACCGGAGCTCCCCCGTGCCATATTCATCAGCGAGTCGAGCCAACTCGTCCATATCGTCCGCTTGCACACGACCGACGGGAATATGCAGACCTACATAACTTAAACCTTGTTGCTTCTGTGGATGGACTCCAAAATAATCCCTCCTCTCCCATTGCTTATTGACCAATTCCTCAGAAGATGCTCTCTCCAACTCTTGTCTAGGCATTCTCTTCACCACTTCTGCTCTAAATCCTTCCATTCCCTGATCCAACAACAATCAGTAATCAATAACCATTTCAAAATTTTGATCCTTATCTGAAAAACTAAGCCTATTTGCTCACCATTTCTTTTACTTTCCACATTTTCAACTTACCCAGATTTCAAAAATAAAGAAAACAGACTTTCAAAAGAGTAATTTTTTAAATTTGGCACAAGTTGCTAAACCAGCCCTCCAACATTCAATCCAAAGACTTAAGTTGATAGATGAAACTCACCAATTCATCAATCAACCACATCATTCTTGCCTTCTGGCGATTGCCTCGAGTGCCGAGGTCCCTGTAGGCCTCCAACACGGCTCGGCAAAGCGGAACGACGTCTTCCTCAGGCACCCAGGCGTCGAGCGGTAGGGCCTCGGCGCACCTCTTGGCGCTGAAGAAGCCTCCCACCAGCAGGTTGAACCCAAATCGCCCATTCTTTGTGGCTGGCATGTATGCAAGGTCATTGATGTGGGGATGTTCATACAGATCATGAGATCCAATCACGCATACATTCCACTTTCTTGGCCTGCTCACACACAATCACATACATCTCACCGTCAATTTCCAATACAGATACCAGAATCAACATTATGAATAAAAATCGATTGATTGTTTTGAATCTAAAGGGAAAATTGAAGCAGAAGAAGAAACTAACAGATTGGTGAAGGCGGGATTTCCGAGGGAATTTCCAGTGATGAACTGAGATAGCAAGTTGTTGTAAGGGCGAGTGTCGACGATCTCCTCCGGATCGATGCCGGCGAGGGGATTTCCGACGGGATTTCTGACGTTGTCCATCCCACTCTGCAGACTGGTGAGGCCAACGCCGGCGAGGCCCTTGAGGATTTGGGGGACATCGGGGAGAACGACGCCGCGGATCTGCCAGTTCTGGCGGGTTGTGACGTCGGCGCAGCCGTCTTTGCCGTACTTCCGGATCACGCTGGCTAGGTATCTGGTTTGTTCGCTTGTTGTGACCCCGTTTGGGAGCTTCAATCGCATCATAAATCTCCCATCTGTTCATATTCGCCATTTCGTTTCATTTCCATTGCATAAATGAAGAAAATTTTTGGGATTTTTTCTTTCTTTTTAGTTCAAATGCAAGATTCTATGTCTAATCCATCGACTTACATCATGTACCAAATTTTATGGAAATTCAAAATCACCCAAATAACATTTGAGGGAGCTGCAAAATTTATGCGATCATTCTCCCTCCGACCATTAAATATTTGACCATTCAAAAATAATTTTTTTTTTAAATAAATAATGAATTGTCAAAATTTGAAACCAGCTAGAATAAGATTTGATAGGAGGAGACAAGTATATTCTTAACTTTTTTACATAAAATGTTTGTAATTTTCCTATCCTTCCTCCCAATGTATTTCACTCTCACTGAAAATTTAACAACTATTTAAAAAAATAGTCAAAATGTAAGTTTTTCGACATGCTATGAAAGATTTGAACCCAACTCAATATAATTCAATAGGTTAAAAAGCATTAATAGAATTTTGAGATGACAGATTTAAACCCAACTTAATATAATTCAATGGGTTGAAAACATTAATAGAATCTTAAGAGGGCAATACCTAGTGACTAAAAAAAACACAAAATAAGATAAAATTACTAGTCTTTTTATAAATTTAATTAATGTTATATGTTTTAACTAATTTGAGTCATGATTTTAATTAGTTGTGACTTTTATGTATATAGATTGTTATTATTTGTTATATATTTATTGAGAGGGCAAATTTGTCTTTTGACTTTTATCCAACTTGTACATATTATAAAATTTTGTGGTGTAGTTTTAATGGTAGAAATGAATCCATAGATCCTTCCTCCCCATGTGCTTTTCTTTTATCTATCAATCTTAGACCATAATTAATTAATATATAAATTTGTTACTTACTTGAATTACTTTTTACTTTAATGATTCAATATTTAATTAGAAAAATCCATTCAATCATGACATTTTAGTCAATAAATAAATAAAAAGTTAAATCATGCCTTGCCCAGCCATTCCTAAATAGCACCAAATACACATTAACAATATATATTAAAAATAACCATCACTCTCATAATCAATTCTCAACCATTGAAATTCTAACCTAATCTTTGACCCTTGAAACAATTATTTTATTTTAATCCTAAACTTTTAAAATACCTACTTTAATCCTTAATTCAATTTTTTAATAATTATTTTAATTTTATTATTATTTTACCATTTAGAGAAATAATTATCACCCAACCTCCATCTACTCTATTAAACATCATCAAAACTTTAATAAATAAGAGAAAAAAAAATGCATTAAAAGACATATTTTTCTTATTTTTAAAAAAATTAAAAATTTGTCAAATTTTTTATAGATGAACTGCACATGAGTGCCAACCAATAAATACCAAATCTGGTTCACTTCGTTGTTATACTTTCTTTGTTTTTATAAATAATTTTTTAATATCGGTAGATTTCACTTCATTTTTAATAGAATACTAATCTAGCCACTAATAAAGATAAGAAAAATCAAATCGAAAAAATAATTTTAATTTTTAAAATTGGAGAACTAAACCGAAGAAATCCGAGATGAAAAAAATTAAAATAGACAATTTAAAAGTGGGGAGACCGAGGGAAAAAAAAACTCACATTGATGCTTCCTTCTATGGAAGAGGCCAAGCCACTTGAGCCTAACATCAACATCGTCTTTATTAAGCTTTGAGGCATCAATTTGGTCCATTGAAAGCTTTGAAAGCTCTTCAATGCCGTTTTCCATGAACAGCTTCATCGGCTCCTTCTCTATCTTCACCTTCTCCTGCGGATTTATCCCTTCTCTGAACTTCTCCTTCACCACCCAGTACCCATCTCTCTCCTCCACTCGCGGCTCCACTCTCCCCTCCTCCACCGCCACCTCCGCCGGCGCTACCACCGGCACTGCCGCCACTCGCCGCCGCCGCCCACCGGAGCGCGCCGGAGGACACAGAAACGGAGATGACACAGACGATGACATGGCTGATTGATTTTGGACACAGTACAGAGAGATCAGAAATGTGGGTGTGGAAGTGGAGGGGGAGAGATTATATGGGCTCTCTCTTGGAGGCCTTTGGACGCCTTCAAAGGCCAAGTTTTTTGGATTTTAGGAACATGGGTCCCCCTTTTTTTTCTTTTTTTTTTCCCTTAGTATTGGTTTTTGAGTTGTCTTTTTGTTTTTCTAGCCCCTCTTTTAGAAGTGGCCACCAAAAAAAAGAAAGAAAAAAAGGTGTATCGTAAGTTGGGTGATTGGGTTGGTTGCCAATGCGGAGGGGTCAAATTTTTACCCGCAAAGTTCTTTTAAGTCCAGTTTGGTAGTTAACTCGGATTTTTTTGGTTGGAATGGGAGTTTGTTTTAGTAGAGTTGATTGGGTGTTCTACTACGAGTTTTAGGTACTCTATAAACTTTCGATCATTCAATCAACTTATATATATGACTCAATATGTGTTTATGTTAATCCACGTTAAAATATGAGAAATTTACTAGTATTACAAGAGTATAGATATTCACGGCTTGTCATATCTGCATCGTATTAAAAATGATGTGAGGTTTTTCTATCAAGGCATGTTATCTATTTGTTAAAAGAAAAAATCAAAGTAGTAATCAAATTGATTATTAGAAAAAATCTAAAAGTTAATCAACTAAAATGTTTAATTTAATTTAATTAATGTTTAACTCTGTTTCCTTTTCTTTTATTTTTTCATCCATGCATAAATTTTAGTAATAAATTATAACACCTGGTGTCGTAAAAAAAAATACATATATATATTAAAAGATTGGATTTATTAGAGAGTTAATTTCTTAGTGTCTTCCATCATCTATTTGACAACTTACATCACATACTTAATATATTACTCAAAACAACTGAACAACAAACATGTGGGGTGGGGCTTATCTTCTTAGGAATTTTATATTGTTACTCATTATTAAATTAATTTATTCTCTCTTTAGATTTAGAAACATTGAACAATGTTATATAATCAATATCATTTTTTCTTCTTCTATTGCCCATTGTTTCCTTCCTAACTAAGTCTTCTTTTTAAGAGATGGGGTTGAAAGCTTAATAGGTCGGAGGATTATAGCTTCGAATCTCACACTTTTTTTGAATTTTTTGAATTGTAATATTAAAAAGAAAAGTTATGACTAGATTTAGTCAAGTAATTCATAATTAATTAGTAAAGTAATGTTAGCTCGATAATTAACACCTACTATTTTCTTGGAGTCGGAGGTTCAAACCTCCATACCCAAAATTTGAATAAATATACATATTACTTCTATTAACATATTTGAATTAATACATGAAGTTTAACTTGTTGACCCGAAAAATTCAACTCATCCATCCAAAAAATCCAATTTCATTTAATGATGCATCAATTTCATTTACAGCTTTCTTTTTCTTCAAAGATGAACTTAATTAAGACTTTTAAATGTATTAAGAGTTCAATTAAGAATATAAAGATTTTTTTTTTTTGGGACAAAATTGAAAATTGTAGAAAAAATAAAATGAAAAAAGTGTAGAAGGAAAATAAAGAAAGGAAGCAATAACCTTTACAGGGTTTGAAGGGTCGAGGCGACGAGCCGCCGCCGACTGAGAAAACATGTGGCTCAGCCTCCAGTATTACTATATCTCCAAATCTTCCATTTCCACCGCTTACTTTTCAATTTTATTATTATAATATTAATATTAATATATATATATTGCCTTTTTTTTTTGTAATTTTTATATTTGTTCTTCAATACTTGAGCTTTGGTCAATGTCAAGGGGTGCAACTCATTGGTCCATTTGACCACTGGTTTATTTGATTTGTGTATTTTTAAAACTGTCTTTTTATTTATTTTAATTTTTTATTTTCAAAATATTTATTTTAGCCTCTGTTATTTTTTTTTTTCAGTTTTTTAATCACAATATTTCATTCACTAAATTTTTTGAAATATTGCTGTAAATTTGTATTAAAGAATTTTCACTGTGTAAAAATTTTACAAGCAGAGATCAAAATGATCAATTTTAAAAGTATATTACCAAAATAAAGATTTTAAAAATATAGAAATTAAAATGAACAAAAAATATATAGACTCAAAGGAACAAAAACTAAAAATATATAAATAGTATTTAAATCTAAATTAGATTTAATCAAATTCTGGGTAGTGAGTTTTCGTGATTCATATTAAATTTTGAGAGATTTATTAATCGGTTCTTGAACATTTTCTATTCAAAGAAGTCAACATTTTAGATCTAACGTTCTTGTTTTTTGAGCAACTTAAGTTAATATTCACAACCCCATAAAAAAATGTTAACATTCACTCACATCTAGATGCTAGATATGAACTTTTCCAAATAAATAATATTATAAATTTAACATTAACTATACTAAAACTTAATGTACACAAAAGTACCCATCAAATTCTATCAACTGACTCCTATCTTAAAAACATTTTTAAACCTATTAAATGACACAAAATATATATATATATATATATATATATATATATAAACAAATGTGTTTAATAAAAAAAAATTATTTTTAAATTTATGCCTTTTTATTAACAATTTTCTTTATAGCATAATCCAATCATTGTATTTTTTTATTTATTCATTTTTGTCCATCTACTACCAAAACTTCATTGTGATCCTTATACTTTAAAAATTGATCGGGCCTAAGCACATATTATGTTTTTTGGATTGTACTCTTAGCGGCTATTTGACATTGGGTGTATTGGAATTCATTTATTTCTCTCAGGGTTGGGTTGCTTTGGGTGGGAATAGTTTCCAATGAAATTATTTTTGAAAAAATAGTGAAAACAAAGCTTCCTAGTAAATGGACACAAATACTCCCTTCCCACTAGCCAAATAAATCCCTCTGCACGAGTTGGCAATGAGAATAGAATTAAAAATAAAATAATAAAAAAAATCCAAAACTGGAAATTAAAAAAAAAACCTATATCATATTAATCTTAAAACTGGAGTGGAAAATACTTTACAGACACAGGACAGGACAGAGAGATCTCTAAAAGTAGATCAGTTACAGAGAGAGACTTACAGTGACAAGTTGAGTTTAAAGAGGACAAAGTAAATAAACAGCAACCAGCCTCTGCCATACTCTTCTTTCTAAAATTAAGTGGCAGGCAGCAGCATTCTCAACAAACTGGGCTTCTCTTTCTCTTTTTTTTTTTTTTTTTTTTTATCTTTTCTTCTTTTTCCTTTTGTGGGTATTTGACAAAGTTAATGACACAGAAAGGTTACAATGGCAGCTAACCTGATAATTCACCATCATTTTAGCCACCAAATGCAGCCAGAAACTTTCGCTTGCTTGCTGCATCTTCGTGCAAGACTACGACATCACTTACTTTGTCGAACAGCTCTTCCAGCCCGCGAACGCCGAGGCTCTGGAAGTCCAAGGATTTCTTGTACCTCTGCAGGTATATCGCCTCGAAACATCCCAAGAAGATTCTACACGAATAGCTGACAAGGATCTCCTGCAGCTCGTGTTTGAACTGCTCCAGACAGTGGTCGTTGTCGTTTCTGCACTGACCTGTTGTTGTCTGATTGGTTTTTCCAATGCCCTTCTTCTCATTGTGTTCTTCGAGAACCACTCTTTCTTCGTCCGAGTATTCTTCTGATGAGCCCAGGCATGGAGCAACATCAACTGCCTCTTCCAACGTACTCTTACCTTTCTTGTTTTCTTTCCTTGATAATATCAAAGGCGGTGCGCTCGGGCATGATCGGGAGTTTCGAAGGAAGACAGATTTCTTGTTACCTTTGCCCTCTACAATGAGGGCGTCTCCCATCTTCTTAAAGAGATTCACAAGCTTGACACCAGGCTCGGATGTGTATAGTGGCCTCCCAAAGACTTTCTGGTACTCGGCACGGACTTTAGTGACGGGTAAGCACCCTCCAGAAAGTTCGAGCAACTTAACCAACTGCCCCTTTAGAACATTTGAGTCTCCCATCTGCGGCCACCAAGCCGACTCGTTCTGGTCCCCGCATGAAACAGGACCCGTTGGAACCTCATTCAGACCACATGGAAGACTCTGTGACCTCAAAGTTGGAGGTGCACAAGGAACTGTCAGATTATTGTTGTACTCAGATAAAGACTGAGAGACTACAGAAAAATCCCTCAGGTTGTAATAGCTCTGGGAGATTCCTCTGTAGACAATAGCTTCCTCCTCATTTTGGCCATCCGCGTCATTGTTGATATGGCATCCCTTGAAATATCCAGAAATTTCGGCTCCTCCTCCACGGGAAGTCAACACCTTGGGGGCAAGTGCAAAGCCTTCACCACGAGCCACAGTCGGCCAGTCCCAAACGAACTTCCCGGCATTGCAAAGGGCAGACGAAACACCCACACCAGAAGGGATGACAAGTATCACGTTATACCCACGTTGACCTAAAATGTGAAGTGCTGGAGCAAAATCGACATCTCCAGATATGAGCATTATAGAAGACGGGGGAGGGTTGTCAAGGGCAAAGAGAAACATATCGACCAGTATAGCCTTGTCGGCAGCATCCTTCCGACCATTCGGCACATCAATGAGTTTGACCCCAGTTCTCTGACACCCTCCTCTCAGCCGTCGAGGAAAGGCATTGAAATCCCCATATGCAGAAAACATCATAACTGCTCCTTTTATTACGGGGTGCACCCGCAGAGCCATTCTTATATTACCAGCTACATCTTCAGGGCGTACGTCACTAGGAACAGGGCAATTCTCGATGTCCCACAGGATGGCCATGGGACCATCGGGAGAACTTCGAGTTTGCTGATTTGCAGGAGCCTGAGAAACATTCCTGCTCAAGTCTTCCATTTGGGTTCGCCTTTGCTCCAATTATTCAGACTAAGCGAGCACTGTTGACACATTCCAACAAGCCACCATTATTTCCTTTTGAGAATCTCGTGTTACTAAAAGGGTTGATTAAATACAATGCACCAGAACAAAATGTAACCGAAAAAAAAATTCAAAACCAGCAGACATTCTTTTCCCTTTACTTTTCTTGGATAGGAAGTCTAGTACAAATTCCGAGAAAACATTATGTTAGTATTAACACAATAAGGATAATAACTAGAAGAGTTGGTCATTTGAACTTCAAGTCTAACAATTGATCCAAAAAAGTTGAAATTCAAAGTCACGGTTACAGAATCAGAGTTATCTTAAACAATTCAACTAAACGTCGGTTCATCAAATACTTGACCAAACACTTGTTGCATGCATCAACTAGGCTGATAGAATAATATGTCTCAGTTCTACCAATTTATATAAGTACTTTACTTAAGTACGTGGGTTTGCTTATCTAAGTTACAGATTTATTAATCCCACAGATTGCATAAACGGGGACTTGTGAAACACACATTTTATACTACAGTCTAACTTTTACAAATCGTAAACCGGCAAACTAAATATAGGTTAAAGAAACCCTTCTCTGTTTTCTTTACACGCTCATTTGCATGATCCAGATAACGTAAACTCAGCCTTCCAACACCCAAACAACTAAACCGTGAGCCAAACATCCCCTTTGGGTTTCAAAACCATGTAGAGCACAAAGTAGGGGGAAATTGTACATGCATTACTATTGTAAATAAAGTGAGAAGCCCAGGAAATTAAATATACTGATCCTCACAATGGTTGGATCAAATGGATACATTATGCCAAGAGGTTGGCTTCATGTCTAAGTAATTTGGTCTGTGTCTCACTAACATTTTGTGTTTAAGATTTGGGGAATTACACCTGGCTATCCTCATGACTCATACTTACCAATCTGAAACCCAGATCATAAAGCCACTTCATTACCACACGATTTTCAAGGTGTTAATCCCGTCACATAATAGCCCACAAACATCAAAAAGCTTTCAACCTTGAGTAAGTAACGGGAACTCAGAAGAAAAAACTGCAACTTACTGCCCCCAAACTATTGTCAATTTTGTTGCAGCATAACATTTTAATGGTGAAAATCACTTATCCAAACACTTGATCTGCACCAATTAAACTGTTTACTTGCCACATCAGTATCTAAACAAAAGCACCATCCTGAAGGAATTACGGGGGAGAATGAGAAAATTGTTCCAATAAAGAATCTCGAAGCTTCAAGCAGATTTTCAGAGATTCGGCGGAGTGTACCAAAGACGTAAGACCAAAACTAACAATATCCCCAAAGCCCCAGGAAAACAACTTCAAGGAGAAAGAATAAATCGATAGCACAAAGGAGAACTAGTTCATCGATAACCTATCCGATGATTTCCCAATCACTCACCAACCGACCATCAAATTAAACACAAATATAACCTCAAAAGGTCATACCAAACCAAGTTCAATAGACAACTTCAATTGAACTACACGATTAGCATAAAACCCAAGAAAAAATATACCTCGTAATGACGCAAGAGATTCTCGGCGTAGCAGCCGCCCCAGCCCACCTTGGATCCCGAAGAACAGAAAGCGGAGTTCGTAAGAGATCTGAAAGCAATCTAAAAGATACAGAAGATCCGTTGGCTTATACGAATTAAAGAAAATTTGTGAGAAGAAGTAGAGAGTAGGATACAGAAGAGGGAGACGAAGAATACGCTGTATACCTGACCTGAAGAAGAAGAAAACCAGTCTATGGGTAACAAAGTTTCGATTTTTATCCTCTACAACAAAATAAAATGAAAATCAGATTGTGGGTTTCTTAAATTATTAAAACAAAAAAAAAAAGTTTGTGAATTTCTTGTAAGAATTTATAGTAATAATACTCTAGTCGTCTTATTTTATGTTATTTTGTATTTTCGTTATTAAATATATTTTTTGTTCTAGAGTTTATGACTTTTTAATCTTTAAAAAATTTAATTTCATTAATTATCTATTAAAATTTGTCAGTTATCAAATGTTAGAATAGATGTGTTCGAAAAACAAAAGATTTTATAGGTGTTTCTCAGAATCTCAACAATAGAAAAAAAGAACTGTTGTGTGAATTAAGAAATTATATTTTTTTTATTTAGATAGATTATTTATAAAGATTGTTATTATTAATACAAATATTTTGGTTAATTATGTTTTTTTTTAATAATTGTAGGGTGAATCCCAAACTTCTCGCTCCCACCGGACTGCTAATGGAAATAGACTGACAACTGGAGATATTCGTGTTACTTTGTATACACTGGTTTATACACGAATCCGTGAGTTATACCTATCAACCAGGTCAACCGACGCCTGCATCACCACTACGGAAACGAAATTTCCTTAGTCATTTTTCTGTGAAACAAATCCAAGTCTTTTCCGTCCGCCTTCCATCCCGCGTTCCTGGCGAATACCATATATGATCAAGAAAAGAGTACCCATAATCACATGAAAACCATAAAGTAAAATGTAGATTATTTTTTTCAAGTACAACAAATTGATAGTAGGAAGATTTTAAACTTCGAGTCTTATCATATGAAGTTATTATGACTTACCAGTAGGGCTTACCAACTAAAAGTTGATAGATTATTTTTATATTAAAGCAAAAAATATTTTATTTTATGGATATGTTTCATTGAATTTAAAATCAAATATTTGGAGTCAATTAATAAAATACATTTTTTTCATGTCATATCTCGTTGAGTTTAATGTTTAGTGATAGCAAGGGTGTTCATAGTACAATAAAGATAGCTCATTTTTATTTTTACCATCAAAATCATAATTTTGAAAATAAAAATTTGAAAAGGAAAAAAAGTAAAATATAGTTAAAATATCAAAACAAATAAAATATAGTGAAGATATCTTATTTAATCAATTAGTTATTTTTTGCCATAAATTTCAAACAATTTAATGTATTTAAAATAGTATTTAATGTGAATCATTAATACTGTAAAAAAAAGATCATTAATACATGATCAGCACTATATTAATTAATCAGTCAATAAAATAATGTTACTTTTACCAAATCTTAATTTAACTCAATCGTTAAAATATATATTTTTAATAAAAAAGTCGGTGCTTGACACTCATCCTACTCATTGATATTACTTATAAAATAATCTATAAATAAGTAATGGATGCTTTTCTATCAAAGAAGAAAAAACAACATAGTAGGAACAAATAGGGGATGGTGGGTCCCCACTCGAACCTCAAGCAAAGTTTTACCATTGAGGTTAAAAGGAGTAATTGCATAAATGCATTTATTTCATCAACTAAATCTCTCTCATTTGATAATAATTTAATCAAAATATAYCGACCAAAACAAACATTTTAAAATGAACGAAAATAAAAATACAAAAATCAAAACTACAAATTTTAAACAAAAAAAAAAACAAAAATTTAATCCCAAGAGACTGGGGCTCAAATATCCTCTCTCCAAATCTTTGAAATTTCGTTAATACATGAGTATCCCTTTATCGACACTATTAATTTTATCTTTATAGATATATTTAAATATATATATTAATAATCTAGCAGATTTACGTAATTTCCAATACGACATTGACGTGATAATCTATGAATAAAAGATATTACATAGTAAGACACAAAAATCCATCCAAGTCTTTATCTCATCTCCTCTCTCGTCTCTTATTCTTATTCTTTCATTTTTAAGCGTCTCTCTATCGTGATTCATTTATCTATTTTTAAATAGGATGTACGCAACAAATTCAGATAAATACTATATTTAAACATAATTTAACTAGTTAAAACACTTGTCTTTCACGAAAAATAAAAAAAATTAAAATTTTCTTTTTAAAATATCAAAAATTCAAATTCTCGTCTCATATGCTATACTAAATTTTTTTTTAATAACTTGGAAGGTCCACCGATTAATTTTATTGTCTTATTTTAGTATACACCAATTAATTAATTCCTATTACGGAGATAAAATTATTGGTGGAGGCAGCCATAAGTCAACAACATAATTAATGGTTTTACACCAGAGGAAGAAAGTAAAAAAAAAATTCTAATCTCTCTCTATTATTTAGTGATTATTATTACCGCATATAGATTTTGAAATTTGCATTATACATATAAACATTATTATTATTTAATTACGAGTACTGTATGTATGAAAGTTATTGGCTTCAAATATGAATTTAATTTAGTGATAATTAGTTTAAAAAAAATTAGTTAGTATCAATTAAGAGATTAGGATTCTACTTAAAAAAAGTGTCGCAAATAATAATAATAATAAATAAATAAAGAAACGTGTCATTTGCCGGAAAGAAAAGGCAAAAAAAAAAAAAAAACTACGTCAACTTGCCGTGGATTTTATCTCCGATATTAATAAATTTTAGCCGGCTTTGGCTGGGGACTTTGACAAGCCAGTGAAATGGCCATAATCGTCAAATTTCTCGGGAGGATCAGTCGGCAATCTACAGCGGAGTTCGTTCGTCGCCTAGCGATTCATATTTTTAAATTCTATTTATTGAGTTTTCCTTTTATAGGCGAGCAGCATGGGTACGCAATTACGTCGTGTATAGATCAAATTACGTAAGACAGATTGGAAACGGATCTGTAGCTGCAGCTCCTTCGATTTCTTCCTTTTCAGCTTACTCTCGCTTATTCTGCCGCCATAACCAACCGGAAAATGGAGTTGAAACCGGGATTGTCGGCTTTGGTCACCGGCGGGGCTTCTGGGATTGGTAATTTCGTTTAATTCCGTTTTGTTTGTTGCTGAGTGGAGTGGAGTTTAGGGGCTGAGCGAGCTCGGATTTTTTGTTTATTATAGACGATATCTGTTGCTGCAACTGGTTGCGTGAATCGAGCTGTATTAACCTTGATTCACTTGTTATAAGTTGTGTTCATTAGAGTCGTAGTACTACGTCATGATTATTGATTTCACCGTCAACGACTTTGGAACTGTTATATTGATGGGCTGTCTAGCGATTTGTTATTTCTGTGTCGAACTGATTAAGCGTTTGGTTGCGAGCTTCTGGATTGTGAATGGAATAGTTCCACTCGATCATATATCGAGATATATAGGTCTTTCTTCTTGGAACAGCTTGCACAATGGCGCAAGATTGAGCAGACAGTCCTCCCCTGTTTTTAAGCGTGCGATTTTATCAGGACACGAGTTATGTTGAATCACGTGGGAAATTTTAAAAACTTGCATTCTTGGCTTTAGAAGTTTAAAGGTTTGGTACTCTAACGGTGGTATTGCCTTCTTTTTATTTTCATTATTTATTTTTGACAAACGGTTTTCTTTGTTAAGAATTCTTAGTATGATATATTCATATATATAGTACTGCTATTATATGTCATGTTTCTTACTAATAGAAAAAGAGCAGTGAATTTTTAATTTACGGGCTGGAAGGGCCACTCGATATCTAAACAAAAATCAGTTCATTTATCTTAAGTGCAGTGATTTTATTTTTATTTTCTAATATTTGGGCATTTGATGGCATGATCGTTAAAGTCTGTTATTTGGTGGTTATTCCTGTTTAGGTAGAGCTATTTGCTTAGCTCTGGCAGAGAAGGGAGTATTTGTGACTGTCGTTGATTTTTCTGAAGAAAGGGGACAGGAAGTTGCATCCATTATCCAACAAAAGAATGACAAGGTTCATTCTAAATTGGAGATTCCACCTGCCATATTCATAAGATGTGATGTTACAAGTACAAGTAAGTGGAATCTTCTATCTTATAAATTTTATGGGACGGTTTCTTATTTAAAAAATGCTGGGTAGTTTTCTATCTCTTGTAACTGTTTAGTTAAATTGCTTGTAGTTATCATCACTAATCAGCAGTTATACTACAATCATGGCTATAGTTGTTTTAATGTTTACATGAAAGTTTAATACCATTAATGAGGTATTCACAACCAGAGTTAAAAAAAAAATTGTTGAGGATTCCGGAATGCCATGGGCTTCTAGAGCTAGGGTGCTTGTCCAGTAGAACAACCATATAGTTGAGACTTGAGGGCCAAATTTGTTGCCGTTTTTTTATGACTTCTTATGAAAGGAGCCATATTTGATCATTTACTTATGAGAAATTGTTGCATTTGTGAAAATTTATCACGTTTTGCACTAATACATGAAGTATAAATGCTTTTTTTTTAATGAAGTTCACATCCTCTTCAAATTCATTTATTAGAATTGGCTGATGCTTTTAGATGCCTAGACTATTGAAACAAGGCATCGAATATGGCTTTGCATGCTTCTTCCACAAGGAGTCATCGAACATGGTTCCTTGTGAGAATTTTTTCCATTCGTGAAAATTTATCATGTCAAACAACCATGCTAAACGTGAGGTATAGATGCTTTTTTGTTTTTATTTTTAACTTTTTACTTCATGTCCTGCACAGATTCATTTATCAGAATTAGTTTGCTACATTTCGGCACTTAGACAATGCTTGGATGCCTTTGGTTGATGGTTCCTTATGAAGAATTGTTGCATCGTACAAATTTATTATGTTGCTGCATGAATACGACAAACACAAAGTGTAGACACTTTTTTTTTTTTTTTTTAATTTTTTAATTTCAGGTTTACTTCATATCCACAATAAATTCATTTATTAGAATAAGTTGATGCCTTTAGATGTTTACACAATTTTCACACATTTTGGCTGTTGAGCAGGTGACCTACAGAAGGCTTTTGGCAAGCACGTAGCAACATATGGAGGATTAGATATTTGTATCAACAGTGCTGGAATTGGCAGCAAAATACCATTCCATAAGGATCAAACTGATGGTACTAAAACATGGAGACGCCTTATTGATGTGAACCTAGTTGGTGTCATAGAATGCACTCAACTTGCGGTATGCCTTTACATTAGACTTGGTTTGGCTTTCATCGTACTTCTACTACGGAGTGCACTTACTTGTTGAAGACAAATTGGTTCTGCTCTTTGGCTTGCATGGAAATAGGAAATTATACCCATTGGATGCCTGGGTAACAGAGTTTTGAAAGTGCTCTTATCCTTTCCCTTTTTTAAATTTATTTTCATTCAAGGAAACAGAGTCTTGATGAAATGTAGAATTACACAAAACTAGCAGCAACTAACATGGAAAAGGATGCCTGGATTTTTCATTAGTTTATGTTATCTCTATACAAGTCATATACTAAACTGAATGATGGTAAAAGGCGATCATGTGCATATCACATTACCTGCTAGTGGTGTGCATGTCTTGCAAGATATTAATGGTTGTTATATAACAAGGTCTTCATGGGTGGTACACTTGCACAGCTCTTGTATTTGATCTGTCTAACTTCATTTTTATTTTTCTTCTTCCTTATATCTTTCTATTTTGAGGGACCATCTTAATGAAATCTTATTCTACCTTTTCATACTTCTTTCCTAAATCAATCTCAACAAAAATTAGAGGTCATTTGAAAAATATAAACAATATAAACAATCTTTTTCATAAGTCCTTTGAATCCAAACCAATGCAGTTTCATATTTAGTCTGATTAAAAGAACTTTACTAAGGGCGTCCTTAATCCTATGAATTGTCTTGGCAGTGAAAGAAATTTCTTTGAGATTGGTTATAGTCCTTGAGAATTTGATTATCCTACCTTTTTCCATCTAAATCTATTGGGGCGACTTCCAGTTTAATTCTTGGAAAATACCTTGTCATCCTTCCCAAATGAACTAATAATGGTTAACTTAAAAATATAGTTGTGTAGGATCTTTTGGAGGAAAGAGAGAAGAGTTGATATTGGAGAGAAGAGGAAAGGAGAACGCCATTCAATTTTTGACCTTTCTAACATCCTATGATATGCATTTACCTGTGTCCTTCATGATCGTAACCTTTGTTCANTATAAGTAAAAACTACTAACATATTTGATATGATGATTTCCATATGCATTTTTTTTAATGAGAAACAACGCTTTCATTGAGAAAAATGAAAATAGATACAAAAGAACAACACGGGCATACAAAAAGACAGCCCAGAAAGAGCGAGCCCCCTAAAGAAAAGGACTCCAATCCAAAAGAATGAGGCCCAACTGATAATTACAAAAGGTCTTAGTGTCGAACCTCTGTTCATGCTAAAGTAAATTAAGTACTTTTTATTTGTCAGAGAAAAGAAGATCCGATATCAATCGCTTCTTTCTATGACGTGGCAAGAAAACATTCATGGGTTAAGTTTTTTAAAGAGTTTAACAATTTCTGTTTGCCTTATTCTGGAACATCTTTACTGGTTTGTCTTTCAAAGAGGGAAATTAAGTGTGCACTGTTGGTCCCACTATAGACACCCTATTAAAGTTTCTTGAACTCATTCACTAACAACTAATTTGTTGTTGCCTCTCTCTGCTGCGTGGACCAGATAAAGACCATGGAATCAATGGAAAAACCTGGTGTAATTATCAACCTAGGTTCTGCTTCAGGTCTTTATCCACTATTTGCAGACCCTGTATACACTGGATCCAAAGGTGTTTTATCTGTCCTTTGTTTGCCTTTTGTTCTCTCAAATCTGATGCAACTTATTTTTCTAAACTGTTTATGGTTAGTTATGTCTTAATGCATGAGGATGATTGAAAATATAACTTCAAATTTATGTTTCTTTATTTCTAGGTGGTGTTGTTATGTTTACTAGATCACTTGTGCCGTACAAACGTAAGGGCATTCGCATCAATGTGCTTTGTCCTGAGGTAAGAGGATAAGTTGAATAATTTTGGCATTGTTATCCAATGTTAAAAAAAAAAAAATCTTGATACTCGAACAACATCTTCTATCACCAAAGATATGATTGCTAAAAGGGACATGCACAAGATTTACAAGATTATGAGTGCTATGCGACTGTATTGTGGCTAACTTGAAGCTCTCATGACAATTTATTTTGTACTCAACTGTTCTTTTTGATGGTTCAATTACATTATCTTTATTTTTGACTTATGTATTACATGCTACAGTTTAACCTACTATGTTTTTTACTAACTGGAGTGATTTTAAATTGGTATTTAGGACTTTATGAACGAGGAAGCATTATCCCTTGTTGGTTCTGTCTCTAGCTTGAGTCAAATTGTTATGCAATTCCTATCAGTGTTTAGCTTTTGTAATGTTGTCCATTTTTAGATCGTCCCATGGATTAATTTTTTTGCTTATAGTTCTTAGTCTATATAACCTTTTAGTCTGTTTGCAGTACAAGCAAATATTTATCTGCGTTTGTTATCTACCTGAACTTTCTTTGCAGTTTGTAAAAACAGAGCTGGCTGCAGGAACAGGAGTGGATGAAAAGTTCTCTAAACTGTTAGGAGGCTTTGTTCCCATGGAGATGGTGATTAAAGGTAAGGTTTGCTTTTCAATGTCCTTTCCTTCCGCAACATTTTTTTCATTGTAGATGCAGTAATGTACTCAATTATCACTCTATTGAAGAGTTCTCTCCAGCTGTTTACAGAGTATAGTTGGATGATAAAAAGAACATGCTTCTATATTTTATTAACTACTAATAGCTCTTGGCATACACTTTTAAACATAGCACCATACTGAATTCAGTAGTTTTGTTTAATTTATTCTTGGGTTACATTAAAGAAATTAGCAGGTCAAATTAAAAGAAGACAATAAAAAACTCTCTTCAGGTTTGAATTCTTTTATGATGCTTTTAAATTGCACGTATTTTAAAAAATAAGCCTTCATTTGTTTCTCAATTATAGGTACACTCGTGCTTAATCTCATTGTGTGAATTTAGTTGAGCATGGCTGAAACTTGTGCTGCTTGCCTTTTCCCGTTGAAGTCAGATTCTGATATTCCATGCTTCAATGCTCTTTAGGTACTTTTGAACTTATTACTGATGAGAGCAAAGCTGGTGAATGCCTATGGATTACTAACCGCAGAGGGATGGAGTACTGGCCCACCCCTATAGAACAAACAAAATACTTGGTTCATTCCTCAAGAAGGAAAACATCTTCATCGACAATTTCTCGGAAAATTGATATTCCCCAAAGTTTTGAGAAAGTGTACGTAATGTTCTATGCTTTCACCCTGTCTAGGTTTGAGATTATCTGAAGTGAAACTATGGTTATCTCGAAGATTCCATTCAATGAAGCATGATTTTTCGATATGGTGGTTGTGAAAATTGGAAATTTAATTGACTGAAGTGCAACTCCATGCACTTTTTAGTCTTGGCTGTCCGTGATTTGGTGAACATAGATAAATAATAATATCAAGTTATGTGCCAATATTATTTTTTTGTAGTAACATGTTGGCTGCAATGTTTTAAATTGATCTACTCGTTCATCACTTGTCAGTAATTGCTTACAATTTCATCTAACTGTTTCTTCCAGAGTTGTTCATACTCTGAGCCACAATTTTCGTGGTGCAACCAGCATAGTGCGCACACCATTGAGATTGCCCATCAAACCAGATCATGTTCTCGTCAAAATCATATATGCTGGTGTAAATGCAAGCGATGTAAGTATCTAAGTCTCAATAAATTTTATTATTATACAGTGTTTACTATTGCAGAAACACTTCATGTTCTTAGTTGCTTGTTTTCTTGTGTTTGACAACCTTACTGGTCTTTGTAAGTTGCAGCTGCACCTTTTTTATTTTATCTGAACCAAGGTTCTGTCTGATGTAATAGTGCAAAGGGGATAGAGTTTATCTGAGGGTGATTGTTCTAGAAAGATATTGTTTTGACTCTAACTTAGAAACTGAAATTTTCTTCAAATGACCGACTTTTATGCTAATAGATGATGTTAGTTTAGTCTTGGAGACAATGAGACCAGATCATCTGCCATCTATGTTATATTCAGAACTTACTATCTGAGTTCTAAATCTTCATGCTTTAACGATCCTCCTCTTACTGACCTAGTATATACCTATGGTAACACTGACAATGATGTGAATTTTTTGCTTTGCCATGCCATGGTTGGAATACTTTTAGTCAATTTTTTGTAAAAAGATCTAATTATTTTTAAGAATACTGTGGAAAGAAAAATTTGTTGGGAAACTGTCTTCTCTTTAGAAGAGAGAGACTTCTGTCATCAAAATAGACGAAAAAGGTCAAATGCATCATGACATCTAGCATTTTCTTCAATTATTTGCACTCTTTTCAGTACTATTCTCGTAGCTTAAAGGACTATGATGCTGTATTTCTTCTGCCTCCTAGGTTTAGGTTCTATTTCTCTAATAAATATGTACAGAGATCCGGTTTCTTTCCTACGTTCTAACTAATGGTATTATGTACAGGTAAATTTCAGCTCAGGTCATTATTTCAGTGACAGCAACAAAGATCTTCGCTCTCTCCTTCCACTAAATGCTGGTTTTGAGGTCTCAGGGAAAAGACGTTATATCCTGTTATAATGGAATAATTTGTTTCCAGTAATATTTTAGGGTTATATAGGTGCCGTTGATTTTAGGTTAATAAGACCACTACTTCTTTTGGTACTTGGTTGTTCTTAATTTCTTAAAATAGCAAAATTACTTTTCATTGCAGGGCGTGGGTATAATTGCAGCAGTTGGTGATTCTGTCACTCACCTGAAAGTTGGTACTCCTGCCGCCATGATGACCTTTGGAAGTTATGCTGAGTTTGTGACTGTAACGTTCTCTTAAAACTCTGGCTTAATACTTAAGGCTTGCGATGGTTTCCCCTTCTTTATGTATCATTTGATTCAAGTACTTCTAATCACGAACTTAAGGGTGATTTTTATTGCAGAATATGCCAATGTTTGGAATCTTGATGCTTTTGATTTTACTTGAATAGGTTCATTCAAAACATATCCTTCCAGTTCCAAGACCTGATCCAGAAGTTGTTGCCATGCTGACTTCAGGGCTAACAGCATCAATTGCTCTAGAAAAGGTTTTTTCTGAAATTTGTGACTAATTCCTTCTGCTGACCGTTATAATTACATTTTCTTCTAACAAATCTTGTCATATTCTGCTTTCTCTCAAATTTTTTTTTAACGTAGTAGTCCGATCATTTTATGCTTTACTCAGATTTTAGTTTTCTTTCCTGATGATAGTTGCTTTCACCGTTGATCTAGGCAGGGCAAATGGAATCTGGAAAGGTAGTTCTTGTTACTGCTGCTGCTGGAGGGACTGGGCAATTCGCTGTCCAGGTTCTTTCATATTTGCCTATTCTCTCGGAGTCTCTAGTACTAGCTTCTTTTCACTCTGTTTTACATATGATGTAATAATCTTAGAAGGATTTGAAGAAATATCTCAGATGTGGTGTAGATTGAAATCCTTTTATTTATTCCTGTGAGAAAATCCCTTCTAATTCTCCTCCATGCTCTATATTTTTCTACTTTCTGACAGGTGTGGTAATTACTGTTTAAATTGCTAGATAACCGTCATTAATTTCACATTATTTCCAAATGTACAGCTTGCCAAGTTATCTGGAAATAAGGTTGTTGCAACATGTGGAGGCAAGGAAAAAGCCATGCTTTTGAAAGAACTGGGAGTTGATCGAGTCATAGATTACAGATCTGAAGACATTAAAACTGTACGATTTCGAAAACCATTTTTAATTTTTCATTATACGTTTGAGTTTTATTGTTTTCCAAGTGCTAAGTTGAAACTGAAAGGACAACTTTGCTTGTGAGTTAGATCTAGATTAATGATATGGACAATCTACCTGACTACTTGGTCCTTCCAAGTACCACAAACCAAATGTTAGCTTATTCCCAATATCTAAAATATTGTCATTTTCTTCCCAAAATAAAACTGCTTTTTATGATGTCTTGGCCTGATATAATAAAAAAAAAAAAATTAAGCTGCTCACTTTAGGCTGGTTTCACGTCTAAGATAATGTCACAGTAGCAAGCTATTTTATGGACGTCAGTAGCATCCAGTTTGGTGATAAAGGTTTGAAAGATGAAATGGTTTCTACCAGATGCATTCCAATAAGCCAGTTTTTCTTTTCAATTCTAGTCATTTATTTTAAGCAGGGGCATATTTATAGTTCTCAGTTCTCCAGGTTCTGAAGACAGAGTATCCTAAAGGCGTTGATATCATCTATGAGTCAGTTGGGGGTGATATGTTTAATTTGTGCTTGAATGCGTTGGCAATCTATGGACGACTAATCGTGATCGGAATGATCTCCCAGGTTATTTTTCTAGCAAGTTTCCTCTCCATGCTGTTGCATGCTTAAATATTATTGTTATATGAACATTTTAACTGTACTGTATTTCAATTTTGTGACATCTGATTCAGTTTGTATTTTCGCATTTATTTGCTTTAATACTGTTTCCAAAGGAAAAAAATCTGAACTTTAAAATGGATGACTTTTTGTAATGTTGGAGCATGTCTTTACTTGTCATCATGGTTGTACTTTTCAAAGCAATTAAAATGGTTGTTGATGGAATATCAATCTTTTAGTTTAAGTTGTCAACGGTTTGTCCCCTGTTTAGCTTGGTGGAATATTGATTCAAGCTTATTGCTGAAAGTGAATTGTTAATACATTCTAAGCATCATTTTTTCTGCTACTGTAGCCAGATTTAGATGCAGTTGTTTTGTCTGAGTTAAAGAATGCAAGTCCACTTGCATGGTAATCAACGGGATTAATTGATTGAACTTGTAAAGTTGAAATGCATTTCTTAACACTTAAGGTATTTTAAATGAGAGTCTCCATTTTGCCACATGGTGAAAATTTTCTTAGTAGATTAATGAAGCTAACATCAGATTCACAAACTGAATTTAAGAGCATTGGTGCCAATGTTTTAATTTGAATATTACCGGAGTGAACCTGTCATAATTCATTGTTGAGGATCCGGATGAACTTTTAAACGCACAAGTGAATATATCTATCTTTATTTGAAGTCACATGTATTCCTCTGTTTTTTCCATTTTTAAATTTCTTGCAGATATAATTAATTCTTTTAGTTCTCTTTTTCTTGAATTTACTGTTGTATTGTTTCACTTTCATCTCAGTATCAAGGAGAACATGGGTGGGAGCCATCAAACTACCCAGGACTTTGCGAGAAAATTCTGAAGAAAAGCCAAACTGTTGTATGTTCCCATATCATTTAACCCTTGATGACTGTTATATAAATTCATATTTCATATATCGTCTTGAATCTATTTGTAGAGTCTCTTTTCATAAGCGGATTGGTTTGATGGTACACATTTAAAATTTTAAGGCACTAGAAAAATGTTATATTCTAGTTAGAGGGTTTTACCTTGAAGATTATACTCCTGTATTCTCGGTTGTTTTATCTCACTCATCTAAGGTCCTGAACTGATGTCTTAAAACAACTTACGTGCTTCATTAAGGACTTCATCATTATATGTCAGTATTCAAAGCAACTCGTAATTTGCCTTTATATTATTACACTGGACGGCACCTAATATGCTACATATGAATATCTAGCCAATTCAACGTCTGCACAATGTTTTCTCCAGATATCATATGAACCTATTCTACTTAATCGTCATAGATGAAGAAGTTCGAAAAGGAAAATGAAAAAAAAAAAAAAAAAAAAAAACTTCTTCCTCACTCTACCTTTTTGTATTGATGAATTGTGCATCAATTCTGTCACTTGATTTAACTACGAGTTCTTAATCTTCAGGCTGGATTCTTCCTCATACAATATAGTCGCCTCTGGCAGCAACATTTGGATACACTATTTGATCTCTTCTCCTCGGGCAAGCTGAAGGTATTGCTTAACCTCTGCTTTGTACTGCAGCTTTATGGTGTCAGTATGCATGAGATTCTGTTCTTGCTAGACAATGATTAATACAATTAAGAATTAATAGTATCCCTTTTATTTCTTTCAGGAGGTGTTCGTTTATATTCCTACCAATTTTTATTCCTTAACATTTTTTTGTCATGGCATATTGATTCAGAGAATATAAGAATACTATATTTGTGTAATTGTTTTGTATTGTTTACTTATAATGACCAAGATATCATTGTTATATATTATAATACTATGATTACATACAAACAGAGAAAACTAGCGAGAGAGTTGCATGAGAGGAGAGATTAGTTAGAAAAAAGTCTGTGAGACAATTTGTTCGTATGGAAAGATTAGCGAGAATTGTGTGGAGATAGAAGTTAGGTAGAGGAAGTGCGATTTTATATAAGATAAACTTGGTAGAGAGAATTCATTGAGAGACAATATATGTATAAAGATAGATTAGTAAGAGAGAATTTGTGTGGAGGGAAGTTAGTGAGAGGTGCGTGTAAAGAATAGTAAGAGAAAGCATGTAGGAGTTAGTGAGAAGAGGTATGTATGGAGAGAGGTTAATTAGGTAAAAAGTGGGTTTAGTGAGAGATTATTTGGAGAGCTATTACTAGTGATAGACAATGTAATAGGAATTTAGTAAGACAATATGTGCAGATAGAAATGAAAATGGGTAAGAATCTTAATCTTTACTGCATTCTAGTGAAACAAATACATGACAGTTCTTTCATTCTTGGAAAAATCTAGTAATGTGATGGTACTCTTTGGAAATAGACACATTCTTAACTCCTTACTCACCAGAATTATTATTCTACATTCTTTGTTATCTTTTGTTTCGACCTCAGCGATAAAAATCCCCCATTGAATTCAAATCCTCTTTACAGGTTTCTGTGGATCCGAAAACATTTTTCGGCGTCCAATCCGTTGCAGACGCTGTCGAATATCTCCATTCCGGAAAGAGTGTTGGCAAGGTATAGATTTCTCTATCTTTGGAATAATGTTGAGAATGTACGAACTTCCAAATAGTATTGGTATTCTTGCACTCCTTATGTTATTCTTTTTGTGCCAATACCGATGCAACCTACTCTGAAACAATTTTTCCTGAACAATATTTTTGGGAAAAAAAAAACAGGTTGTTGTTTGCATTGATCCAACCTTCATTGAACCAAAGCCAAAGCTCTGAACCAGAAATGTCACCTGCAAAGTTCTAACTTTGTGGATTGTCTGTGCAAGAACTCTCGAGTAAATTCTTGCTCTAACACATCCAACTTGTGCTGGAAATCTCTTCGATGAACAATAAATCACATCTTTGGTGTCAAGGGAAAAAATGGGAAAAAAAAAGAACAGTAATGAGGGGAGGGCACAGAGATCATTTATCCTCTGGTGGCTGCTGAGAAATTTCCCCAAGCAGGTGTTGTAGGAATCTCGTCACTGTGCTGTTTCAAATTATGGTCAGAGACTGATAGTACTGTTTTGTATTTTGTTTTCCATTTGGAAGGTTTTTTTTTTCCTCTTTTTAACGTGAAGAGACTCGTGTGTATTTTGTTATCCCGTTATATGTTGCATTTATATAGTTTAATTGGTTAAGACATATATTCGAATAAAATGTCATAGATTCGAATTTCTACACCCATATATTGAATTTAAAGAAAATTTAAAGAAAATGAAAGTCGTTGCAATTTTTCGTTGTACAGGAAGTAGTTTGCATGTTTTTTTTAATCTTAAAATGAGGAAAAAAATTAGTATACTCATCTCTCCAACTCAAAGTTAAAAAGTATATATATATTTTTTTGAGATACAAAGTTATGAAGCTTTTTTAGATCATGAATCAAAAATCTCAAAATATGTATTTTGCAAGTGTGGATAACTTGTCATATTACTTTAGTTTTTTTTTAATAGAGGTGTTGCCCTAAAGTTTATATCTACTAGAAAATTTAATCTTCGTAAATTATTTGCAAGTATGATCTTTCATTAAAAAAATTATAAATGTAACATCTCTTTAAAAAGATGATAATGGCAAATGCAACAATTTTATAATTACCAGTATTTTTTGTATTACAATTAAAAAACCGGTTAATCTACTTACTTTAAATCAATTTTTAAAATACAATAGCTTATTGACTTAAATGTTAATCGAAGTAATACTTCAAATTAGAGTAACGCCCATTCTACTTTTAATCATATTTACAATTTACAATTTTTTTTGACGGTACCATATTTATGATTATAAAATTGTTACTAATATAATATTGTAGTCTTATGCTATAGTTGGAATTAGCCTTTCATAACTAAAATTCGATGGCCTGCATTGGAAATTTGTGAAATTATTCCTGTGTGGATTGTATAATAAAAATAAAAATAATAGATTTATATTTTATTTATTTTTACAATCAACAACTTGGCCCCTATAGCTCAGTGGTAGAGCGTCAGTCTTGTAAACTGAAGGTCTGTAGTTCGATCCTGCATGGGGGCAATTTTTTCCTTTTATTACAGGGCTAAATTTTCATAAAATCATTCTAATTTTGGGGTGTAACTTTTTTTTTTCCATTTTTTGAAAAGGGTCTGGTTTTTTTAGTTATGAAATATTGTGTTAACTAAATTATACATACAATATAAAAGAAAATAAATTATCTTAGGGCCAATCAAATTATAAATTTCTCTGAAAAAGAATGAATTTGCCCCTATAGCTCAGTGGTAGAGCGTCAGTCTTGTAAACTGAAGGTCTGTAGTTCAATCCTGCATAGGGGCAAATCTTTTTTTTTTTCCAGATCCACCAAATAAATTTATTTTATACACTTTATTTTACCACTCCTCCAAGAGAGGGAGAACAAAACTACAAGAAGAAATGATATTTAAACACTGAATTCATCTGTTACAGAAACCAGTATTCACAATTAGCCCTCTCCAGCCATTAGTGTGTTCTTCTCCAAAAAACTTCCCAAAACTAATGGCAGAAAGTTCTCAAACTATGGTACTATTGTATATCATCACCAATGGACACTGGCCACTTCCTGGAACAATTGCTCCATGTTCCCGATATCGGTGTCTAAAGAATGAATTTCGTCTTCCAATCGCTTCACGGTGGCTCTTCCCTCCATGATTTTCGCCATGAGAATGCTTCTTTCTGCTAGTATCAAGTCTCGCTTCAGCTCTGCTTCTCTTTTCTTCTCTGGCTTTAGAGAGAGATTCAGTAGTTGGTCGATTCGAGTGCGTAGAAAGCCTACATTCATTCCTAAGGCCTCGAAGGCGGTCAAAGTTTTGTCCCAAGTGGCAAGGTGTTCTTGTGAGGTGGTGATCTTGCATGCTCTAATGGCATCAGCAATGTTGATGGTCTCTGATATGATTCCTGAAACAAGTTTGTAATTTAGACCCTCTAGAATATGGTCATGAAGAAATGATTTCTGGCTGCAGCACAGGTCGTAGTATTTGGTTCTAATGTGACTGGAGAGCTCGGAGTCGATAATCAATCCATTGACAGAAATGCTGAAATCATTCAAACTCTTCACTTTGTCGAAATCCAGAGTTGAGTCTGATAATTGAATTCCATTCATGGGGTTAGAACCAAAACTCTTGCTGACATCTTCAGACTCCTCTTGTCCGGAAATCATCTCAGAATCTAAAACTGCATGGCCACTCGTTTGCCTATGTTCTTCATTGATATCCATTGCGAGGGAGGCGGGACTATCGTCTTCTTCTTCCTCCTTAACGGGAAGAATGTTTGTCTCTTTGCTATTTACAATGTCGAGGGTTGTTTGTTCCTCCTTAACATGAGCGATATTTGTTTCTTTGCTATCTACAATGTTGAAGGACAAGTATTAGCATGGTGATGGGCGGAGCGTTCTTACAAATATAGAAATGGTAAATAGCGAAAAAGCCATGTAAACTATACATAAAGATGATTGTTTGTTGCAGGCCTCATATTTAAGGCCTAAAGCACCATCAACCTCAGCTGCACCATTGGATCTCACAATGTAGACCTGAAAATAGAAGGGACGAATCACAATTACATATTTAAATTACTTGAATCCTGAAAGCTGAGTATTTAAATTACTTGAATCCTGAAAGCTGAGCAAATGGCGTCAGGTGTGGACCGTGGAGTCGGCACCTGACCATCTGTGTTCAAGTATTAGTCGGTAAATGGTGAGAATATTATTAGAAATCTTAGTAGTGTCATTATTTGTAGTTACTTAGAAGTTGGTTTCTGCTTACGGTTATAATTTAGGGAGTATGGGTTTAGGAGTTGTGCATAATTTGGAAAGTCAACCAACCTATACTAGAATCCGGAAGAGAGATAGCCCTCTTGGAAGGCTATTACTCTTATAGTTTCTCTTTGATGTCGTAATACAATTTCGGTGTTATTCTCTTATAATTAAGATCCTATCAGTCCGATTCTGATCCTAAAATTTCCCTGTATCCATCTAGTTTACTATGTTATCAAGCTTTTATATCAAAGTCAGAATGCAAACATCGTTGCGATTTGCATCCTCACTATGATTTTACATCAAGATCAACATCTTTGCAATTAGTTACTCCAAAAATGATTAGTAGATAGAGCTGAAGAACAATTGGATGAAAAAGGGAAGTAAAAGTTTCTCTAACATTCAACTTTGAATCCTACTACTTGACAGACTATTAAATAGAGTAACGGTTACCATAAGTTTGTTAGGCATGACCAAATGGAAAACAATAACATCTCCTTGGAGTAATTTGTGAGCCATTGAGAAGCCTCGCCATCCAGCACTCAACCCCTTTTTTTCGGATAGATATTTTGTTTCATATTCTATTCCACTTTCATCTTCTAAGACGAATACGGTATCCTGCTTTGGTAAATGGCTGTCACAGAATCCTTTTGGAAGACCCTGCCACGACAAACAAAAAGATCCATCAAAGGGTTCATGATTCACCCCAGTAATCCTCATTTCCAATCCAAGTGAATAGCAAGTGGGTTTACCAGCCAAAATCCTCCGGTGACGTGTGACGGGAGCATAACCTTAATAAGACTGGGACAACTAGGGGATAATTTTGCTTGAACTTCCTTTGCTTGTGCCATAACAGAAGATTGAGCTTCAAGATCGTTGTATACGCTATCAACAGTTGTTCTCTTGCATTTTACACTACAAGTAAAAAACATAAGATAACGGTTGAAGATAGGAGTTTTTTGGGAAAGAATGAAGGAGCTAAGCATATCATTTCAATGTGTCCCCTTACCTTCTAGGAAGTAGAAAACTGTCAACTGCTCCCTGGTCAATAATTTTACAAACATTTGCCACATTCAGTGTTAACTCACATGAAAAAGCTAGATATTCATACATCAAATGAAAGATATAAATCCGACATAGTAATATTGTGATGAGTAAAGGAAAATCAACTCCAGAAATTTATAGCAATACAAAAGGAATAGATGCCATGGAAAGCCCGTAATTGAATTATGCTTATAACGTATAAGCTTTCGCTTGACTCGGCAAAGAAGAATTCTAACAAAATCCTCACCATCTATCAGCAGTCTAAAATGTATCATATGCATCATAGCTATAGAATGAGTAAATTGGAGAATTCATGGCACAAAATAAAGCAGACCAGTGATGCAAGTCGATAAAAATTCAGATGAGAATTAATATCAGATCGAGGTTGCCAAATGCTACAATGAAAAGGCAAGAAAAAAGAGAAAGAACCAAGTATTACAAATCAAAGTCTAGACTCTAGTAACAAGTTTGCAACCTTGATGAAATAAGCACAAAAAATTCAGTTCAAGTAAAATTGAATCAGGTTGTAATCATTAACTAACAGCAAAGAAAACAAAAATCAGCTCCAATATTCCAAAACTTTAACCAGAAGTCTGCTTTAACTCCAAAAGCCCCAGGAGCTTAAATTCTTAGTTTGAATTTTATTCATTCATTTAAACAAATTCAACTAGAAGTTTCCTTAACTGCATGTACCATTGCCTATCCCTATTTTGATTATTAGAAGAAAACAAAAAGCTTCACTGGTATTGATACAACCAATTTGTCTGCAAGTAAGAGTTGCCATCTTAAAACAGTCCCACATTTTGTTGGGATTGAAAATGACGAAGACATCTCTAAATGGTTCTTCAGGGGACCAATTATAAAACCCCACATGACACAGAAAGAAGCATTTCTTGACAATGACATGAAAAAAAATTCACAACCCACTGAACATTAATCAAAATCTGAAACAAACCAGACCCATTTCTAATCAGAACCAAATCGACCCAAAAGAGAACAGAACAAGCAAAAACAGAGCGCAACTGGGTCTCACTCACTTGATCGTAACTGGTACTCGTTTGGGTACTTGAGACCCAAGTTTTTCTCCTGAACAACTTCTCCTTCTTCCCTGGTCTCCACTGGTTCATCTGCACGAGGAAACACAAATAAAATGAGTGATTAAAACAGCAAACGCAATGCAAAAGCAGAGAGAACAGAGAACAGATGAAGAAGAACCTTGGGAGAAAAAAGAGCTGTAATTTCTGCGTTCTTCTGAGCAATGGCCATGGCCGGAGAGTGAAGTGGGTGGGGGGAAACGGTAATTGATTTCAGCTGATTCTTTTCACCACTTGTTTTCACCATTTTCAGACAACGAACAGCCACCTACATCGGTCCTTTTTCACATTGTTCGAATCTGACGGTTGGGATTGGAGAGCTCATATGTGGGATTTGAATTTGAGAGCATCTGAACCGTCCATAGTTGCAAGATATGGGGAGCATTTGACACGACCCTCTTGTCTAGCCTTGGCTTTATGGCACTTTATTTTCTTTAATTATTACTATTTTTCCCACAAATTGTGAGACCATTTTAACTCGTTCCGGCCTTTCGAGATCTCAATTTTATAGATACGTGGATGGATAGTTTAGGAAAAATTACGAAAATAGTGGATATTATTGATGAAAATTTTTTAAATTAGTAAATAATATAGCTTAATTAACCTATAACTTATCACTTCTAACCATCATATCTAACCATATAAATAATATATTTATATAAATATAGTTATAATGAAAATTTGAAATAAAATCATGTATACATATATCAAAATTATTTGAGTCAGTAAATTAAAGTTAATGTTATTTTTTTATTGATAATTTCTAATCCAATCTAATTACGTAATTGAATAAAATATGTGAAATATAGATATATATAAAGGTATGAAATAATTTTAAAAAATTAGATTTAATTTAAATTTTAAATATTTAATAATAATTAGATAAATTGATTTTCTTTTATTATTTTGTTTTAAGATTTGGTGAGTTAAATTTAATTTAAAATTTGTTTTTCTTTTGAATCAATTACTTCAAGATTTTGTTAGATTTTTTAGTTAAATTTAGTTTACGAACTAAGTTTTTTTAAATCGATTGTTTATAATCTATATTTTTAATATTTTATTAGATTTTTATTTTCCTTTTCCTTTTTACATAAGAATTAAACTTTTTTAAAATTTAAATGTTTAATAATAATTAGTTAAATTGATTTTAATTATTTGTTTGTTTTAAGATTTATTCAAAATTTGTTTTTCTTTTAAATCAATTACTCTAAGATTTTGTTAGATTTTTTAGTTAAATTTAATTTAAATTAAGTTTTTTATATATCGATGGTTTATAATCTATTTCTTCAAGATTTTATTAGATTTTTATAGTTAAATTTAATTTGAGGTACGTTTGTTTTTTTTTTCCTTTTTTAACCAAAATGATAAGAATTTAACTTTAGTTTCTTTAAAAGAAAAATAAAAAACGTCCAATGTCGTATAATTTTTTACTATTATTTTCTATTTTTCTGTTTACTCTTGACAAGCTTTGAATTTACACAAAACTGAGACGATTTGAACATAAATTCTTCTTTTTTTAAAGTTTGGATTCAAAATTTTCGATCTATATTTTTTCTTGAAAAACAACAGATCTTGCTCTAAGTTTCAACTCACTAAAAGGCCACATCTAGATTTTCTCAATCGTTTAGGGATTCAATGTAAAAAAAAAAAACGACATTTGGTCGAAATTTCTCGACATTTCCTCGACATGTTGATGACATTGGGGGAAAAACGATTTTCTCCCTCAATGTTGATGTCGAGACCGTCGACGTGTTGAGCGAAATTTTGAACATTGATATTAAGGAATCGAATTAAAAATCAATTGGAATGAGAATTTATTCTTTTATGCTATTTACGAAATAGGAATAAAAAATAATTTCTTATTATTTACTAAATGTGTCTTAAATCGTAATAGAATAAGGTATATAACAATTATTCGTATATAATTTTTTTTATTTATAGCTAATTAAAAATACTAATTTCTTTAATTAAAGTAATAATAAATTTTAATTTATTTTATTGATATATTGATAGTAAATATTTTTTTATTATAACAATTTATTTAAAATTAACCAATAATAAATAATTAAAATAAAATTACATCAACTAAAATATTTTTTTATTAGAACAACTATCATTTAATAGGAACACTTACTAAATTTGATTGTCCCAAAAATTTAATAATACTAATCAAGTCTATTTTGAAAATTTTATTGATATTAATTAGTAACAACAAAGTAAAATAAAAAAAATGTAAAAACTAAATAATAAATTTGTAATATTTTATAATACAATCACATCAAATGGTATGAATTTTTAGAAGAAGAAAATTTATGAATAGTATAAATAAAGATAATAATAAAAGTGTAAAATAATTAATTGGAGAGTTATGATCAATCTCATCAATAGAGAGGAAGGAAATGGTAAATATTATAAATAAATTATTATAAATGTGTAAGCCTCATCAATAGAGAGGAAGGAAATGGTAAATATTATAAATAAATTATTATAAATGTGTGGGCTTACGAGATAAGGAATGATAATAGATTCAATGAGATTGCAGGATTCACGAGTGGAATGGAATCACATTTATAAGGTTGTAGAAGTCAAAATGAGATCACACTTTTGAGATGGTCCCACCAATTGATTTTCTTCCTACAATTTACAAAAACACTTTGAAATTTTTTATTTTCATTAATTTGTTTCTATTTTCTTGAAAGATACTGAACTTTAAGCCTAGTTGTAACCTAAACTATATTTTTTAGATTATTTAGGAAATTGTTACTCTTAACCCTTAGATTGTTTTTTTTTCTTCTTTTTTTCACTCGTTTGCAAACGGAACGTTAATGAGGAGTATTGATATCACCGCATGAATCGTAAATACATGAATAGGATGTAAAGTTGGTTGAAGGAGAATAGAGAGACAACAAGTGTCTTAGCTTACCCCATGTGAAAATGTCTTCGTTTTAGTCTACTCAAATGCATTGAATGTCTCACAATTAAAATGGGTCGAGGAAAAGTTGGTCAAGGATTTGCAAATTTAAGAATACAGATCTTTTCAAAATTTGATTTGATCAGTTTGTGGGTATTTTTCGAAAAAAAAAAAAATTTAAGTTCACTTAACTGGTGAGATTAACAAATTTATTTTCGAATAACCAAAACAACATACGCACATATTGGTTATATAAATTTGATATGCAAAGTTATTAAATTCAATATCCTGACCTTGAAAAGCCTGATAATCCCACTCTCTGCTCATAAGCAAGAAAAAAAGGCAGATGCATAATATGCTCAAGCAGAAAGCATCTCTCTTCAAAACAAAACATGTCTGTTTTCTTGTCTGTTTAGTTCAAGTATTTACATTATTCAAACTTCCAAGTGAGAGTCTGTCATCATAAGTAGAGCTTCTCTTTTTACACTTCCTTCTGTACACTAAAAGCCTATCAACAAAAATCCCTTCCTCAACACCATCAACACTCTCTCCCCACTGTGTGTCGACTGTGGTCATCTCATCACCATACACACAAATCTCTAACCTATCCCTGAGCTTCTCGCCACAACCTATCAGACAACAGAGCATAGGCAAGACCTCGCGTGATGCTCGAGGCCACAACGACACAGAGCTGTTTTGTCGCTGAAGATTCTTAATAAGGTACAGCCTCCAAATCTTGCAATTCCCACAAGGGAGGGATTATATGGCTCGCATTTAAATTAGATGTGCTACTAATGCCTCAAAAGCTAGAGGTTAGATGATAGTAAACTTAACTCACGCAGCTACATACTTTTCAACTATCATCTATAATCTATGTCATAGTCTAGAGCGACGGATAAACTTTGTACCGGGGAATGGTGAGTGCCTGCGAGCTGAAGCAAGTGGTTGCCCATTCAGAGAGCCGTGAAATTTAATATCCCAACCTTCGACATTTTTGGGCACACAAACATCGAAGAGGAACTGGCCGAGGACGCTATGTGCACTGATGCCTGGGGGATTCGAAAGCGGAGATGTTCGTTCTTTCTGATCAGGAGAGGAAGGATGCTCCCGACCATCTTGGGACTCGGCTGAGCTCGGCAAGAAGAAGTGATCGCTTGGACCAACTGCAACTCTTCTCAAACTCTGGTTTGAATTAACTGCTGCATTCTGAAGGTCGCATATTAGTTCAGACATTTCATCACTTTCCATGCCTCTTATTTCTCCTTTTAATTGTGGAATTTTGTGGGAATAAACTGATGATGCCTTCTCAAGAAATGTGGTCACAGCAGCTCTATACTGGGCTGGATAATTCTTGTAATGACCTGACATGAAATAGATGTCACATATGGTTTGATGATAACTTTTTCCTCACTAAAAACATCACTTGAGCCACAATCATATCAATAGCCAAAGTTTTTAAGAAAATGGCCCCTTAATGTTTTAACTAATAGGAAACTAATCCTCATCAATAAAAAAAGTTTGAATTGTAATAAAAAGATGAAAAACAGGTGCCCCCTAATATTCAATAGGCATACATAGTTCAATCATCCCCCATCCCCATTAACAGGAAAGAAAAGAAAAGAAACCTTTGTAGTCAACATAAATCAGAAAGATGCTATAATATCTCCTTCATTACTTCTCTATCCATTGAACTACAGATTTGAAAGGGAAAATAAGCATCAACCTACAAATTTCTGCAGGCTAATTAGGAAAAAGTAGGACTAATCAAACATATTTGCCTAAATATACAAAGGAAAAAAAAATCATGAAAACAGGCAAGTAAAATTTACACTTTCACAAATTTCTCATAGTGAATAGCAGATCTCCTGCTATTGATCCTCAAACACATATAGTTCTCAAGAAAACTGAGAAACTATGCCTTTGTTCAATGTAAAAGTATTACCAAGCGAAGAGTCAGTTTGAGACAAACCTAAGTGCGGGGAGCCATTGAATTTTACCAGCTGAACATCAGCCCCTAGTTCTTGGATACTCTTGGTGAAATTACAAATAATTTCATATGGAGCAAGGTCATCCTTTTCAGAGCACATAATGAGAAATGGAGCACCAAAGTTCTAATAAAACCAAGAAAACTCATTATCTTGTGAATATGAAAACCAAGTTCAGGAAGGTAAAAACTAAAAAGCAACTTGGAAGCTTACAACAGAGGAGCACAGGGTCCGCCAATACTCATCACGCTGTGAATCAAATCTAGTAAGATATAGAGCATCAAGACCAGAGGAGACGCCTTTCGCAAGCCAGGAGATAAGTTGAGATGATCCAGGCATTCTAAGAATCATTGGATGTATGGCAAATCGAGCACCCAAGTCAGTTATAAGCTCTACAGGACTGGAGTCATAAATGTGCCCAGAAACGCAAGTTCTGATCATTTGACATTCAGTCTACACAGAAAAAGAAATGAGGAAATTATGATTCAACACTAAACTTCGATTCGGTTTCACTTTCAAATCAATAACACAAGGCAGTATATGTTAAGAAAATAAAACAATGACAAACTAACCATATAAAGTGGACTGCCACATCTTCCCTCAATGATCTGTGATTTGTGTGGTAAATTTATTAAGACGGTAACAGAGGCAATAACGTTACAAATTCAATATATCAATAGAAAATTAATGCATCAAATGAAGAATTCTCTGTAATTGAACTAAGTCACCTGTAAAACCCTGCACATACAAGCCTTTGATGCACCACTTAGAGCTACAAAAACAATAGGACGCAGCTTCAGTCTTAGCTCCTATAAAGAAATACCAAAAGGAACTTATAAGTGATTCTCTACACCGCCGCACATAAGTTCATATCTGCCACTTCAACTTCAACCCAGAGTACACCATATGGGTACAAGTACAATGTATAAACAATCTTACTCAACGAATTGATAAATCATCCAACACCACTGACCTCAACAAGCTCGTTAATAACAAGAAATGCCAGTGATGTAGCCCTTTCAGGATCAAATCTGAATGTATTGTGGCAAGAAGGAACAGGGCAAGGAGTTAGATATAAATCATTCAAAAACCAAAAGAGAAATAAAAATCCGACACTGAAAGAGAGAAACCCTCTATCTGTTGAGCAGAATTGAAGAACCAGACAGGTAGATTTCGCAACCCCACCCCCGGAATTAACCCAAAATTTGGACTTCTTCGCCTCCAAGAGGATTAAACTAAGATAAGTGAGACCCAATTAGGCGAAGAGAAAGAAGAAAACTCACATATTGAGAAAATCGGCGTAGCAAACAAGGGAATTCCAGCCAAGCGAGGCGTAGAGGTCGACATACTTATCCAAGTGGCGATGCTGAATGGAAACCCAAGCGAAGAGAACCAGAATCCCTCTGCAATTTCTGACGTCATTTCTTGTCCCCCAGTAAACGCTTCCACCGCCGACGCCGCCGCCCAGCATCTCTCTCGCGCTTCCTCAACCAGAACGCACCGCAATTAAGCAGCTGCGGGGAAATTACCGTGGAGGATTGGGAGAATCGAGGTGGAGCGTGTGAGATGCACGTGGTCGACGACGAGCTTCTGAAAGACGGCGACGGTGGCGGTGGTGGATGTTGTTGGGCTGCGAAATCGAAATCGATGGTTGTTCAATAATGTGGTGGACAATGGAGATGGAGATGGAGCGGAGGAGACCATTTTCGTCTCTATTTCTCTCTCTTCATTTCTTCGTCGGAGTGGGGCCCGCTTCAGAAGTGGGGTCCACGGGAGATCCTAACCCATGGTCACTCAGCTCTCTTCCCTTTTTAAAACCTTTTCTTCTAAGGATAAGTTTTTGTCCTCGCTTCGAGGAAAACGGCGTCGCTTCATGCTTGTGGGCTTGGGCTTGGGCCTAATTTTTCTTTCATTTATGAATAATTCGATGGGACAATTGTAATACGACAATACAAATGTAGTATCATTTAGTTTTTTAAAATATAGCACTTTTTTAAATAAAAAAATTAGAGGTCTAATTTTAAAAGAAGTCTTATATATCTATAATATAGATGACTACTGATTTGTGTATGTGATATACATTTTATATATTATTGATATAGGTATCTCATATAGTTCAATACGTATGTGATATATATTTGATATACTACTGATATGAATATATGTGCATGTGATATATATCTAACATGCTACTGATACGAGTATTTGATATACTACGTATTTGATATATTAATTTTTGCTATATTTTAACATTTTAAAAATAGGTGACATATTTTGAAATACATAAAAGATTTTTGCTGCTCATTGCAAATTTTTTAATTTAATTTATTTATACATTTTTTTCAAATATTTAAACTTATAAAAAGTTACATATAATTATCTTCGCCACTACAAATTGTCAGCTTAGTTCAACGGTTAAGATCTATTGCTTCTTTTTATGCAGATATGCAATATTTGTTATCAGAGAGGTATGTTTTGACTAATTAAGTTCATTATTCTATCGTTTTTCAATATTACAATTCAAATATTGGTATGGATTTCAGCCCATAAATTTAGAGGAGGTTAATAATATTCGAATATGTTAAACTATGTTTAGGTATGAAATAATTATGCACTCGTAAATAACCATTTTAGTTTTTAACAAGTCGCTTCATGTGGTCTTTAAATTCTCATTTTGAACACGATTATGGTTCTTTTCAAATATATTATAGTGACCTTTTTTAGGGGATTTGTATATATTCACAAACATTTAATTTTGATAACATGAATAATTCCAATAAAAAATCCGAATTGAGTTGGGTGGACAAGATACATCTAAAAGTCCATAAATGTTCAACAAAAGAAAAAAAAAAGGTATGTTGGCAATTTCTATTTATTCTTTCTATTTTCTAATTTTTAACTAAAAATAAAATTGCAAGCTTCCAACACCCGTGAATTTAAGAATGATAAACACAATCTTTTTAGGTCGGAATAAATTGGAAATAAGAACAACAAACATAAAAACTTGTTTTCGTTGTTTTCAAAATTTCTATACAATTTTAAGAATATTTAAGAAATAAGAAACAATAAACATAAAAATAGTTGTTAAATACTTCAATTTCTTAATAAATTAGAATTAGAAACGGAACGACCTTTCGAAAGTCAATTAACTTAGTTTGGGCTGTGGACAGAATGCGGCCCTTTGGGCCATATTGGGCTTTGGGCCAATTGTGCCCAATGAATTCAGAAAAAGAGAGCGATAAAATAAAAGAGAAAATGGGAAAGGTTCAGCATGAAACGGCACCGTATTGAATTTGGGTAATTTTGATTTTTTGTCCCAAAAAAACAGCTCTCGCTATTGAAAGGGTTTTTGGCGAACCAGAGGCGGAGCACTGGAAATCTCCACTTTCTTCTTCCTCTCTGTTCCCAGCTCCATACGAGATTCTTCCAATGGGAAGTAACGCCGCCGCCGCCGATAAAATGGAGGAGGATCTCCGAAAGGAGATCGATGAGCTTCAACGTCAACAACGGGAGGTCCTTCTTCTTCTTTTTCCTCTTTGTCTCGGATTCCTTTTTCGTTATTTTCTTTCCCTTTTTCGGTTCATTCAGTGATGCATTGATGCTGTTTCAGATTACAGAACGGCTTCGTGATCCTCGCGGACTCCGGAGAGGGGGCTTTCCGGGACCTGGGCCGAGAAGTTTCGTCCCTAATGGACCTCGTCGGGGATTTCTTCGACCTGTAATATGACCCCTTCTTTTCTATCTGTTTTACTCGCGTACCATTTCTCTAGTAAAAGAATTCCGGGTTGTCTTCGTCGAAATGAACTAGTTGGTTGAGATGGAAACGCTGTTTTTGCCTCATGGAGCTTTGGTTTAATTGCATACGTTTGGCAATTTGGGTGGCAAACCTGATGCCTTTTCGTTGTTGATTGTATTATAATCAATGGCGGTTGTACTGATAGTTCAAGTGTTACGCTTCAGGCGGAAAGGATCGATGCTGAAGACCAGCCTCCTGCTAAGCGGCGACTATCATCTGCTGTTGTTAAGGTGAGGCTCTGAAACTGTTTCAGATTTCTGGATGGGTTGTGCTTTATTTCTTTTTGTGTTTTAGTCTAATTCCGTTGTCGCTGCGATGTTCTTTGGGTTTTGTTGCTAACTCCATAATTTAAACTGAGATAATTTAAGAGTATGGAAGACGGGCTTAGCCTCATAACTTTCTTCAAACCAAGTCTGCCATGTCGTACACTTGAATGATAAATATTTCCTCTTTACGTCTCTTTAATTTTTATTTTTAAATTCGTGAGCATAGATGGAGGAGGATGGGGAGATAAATGAAGAAGCCGATGGGAAGGATGCAATGAAGGATACATCACGGGAAGAAACTTCAGTGAGTGATACAGCCTACCAGAACGATGGGAAACAAAATCATTTGCGGCAGAGTGGTTCATTTAATAGAGTGGATGGAAATAAAAGAGCAGCTAGGATGGTAATTTTTTTTTTTTTTTTTGGTATAATTATATATTTTAATCAGCTAGAGTATGCTTTGGTTTGGCATCCCGCACCAGAAATCTCATTGTAATGTTTTCTAATTTCTATTAGGATTTCGAAGTTCCAGCTGCAGAGCACATTCCAAGGGTGCTGCCTAAGAATGAGGATCCTAGCTTAGTTAGCAGGAACAAGAGAATGCTGGGTCAGCTTTTGGGAACATTAGAGGTATGTGTAAAATAATTGATTGGCTGAATTCATCGTTTGTATAGCATCATTTTCCAGATTCAATTCTCTAATCTTTGCGCTTGAGAGGAAAATGGAGAAAAAGTACATATTTGATGTATTTCTAATTTTTTAATTATAAATTTGGGTCCCACTACAGAGTATAATTTACTCATATATTGGCAAAAGAAATTCCAAAAAAAGGTAGTATCTGGTGACTTGGACTTTAGAGAGTTAGAGATGTCTAGAAATTTCTATATAAGCAAGTGAATACAGTGCATGGAGAACATAAAATGTAGAGGACCGGAGAGGAAAGATAAATATTAAGGTGTAGATCTTCTGCATGAAGTTGAAATTGGTGGGATTATTGGCACGAGATTTTTATGTTGATTATATCCCTAAGTGGATGCATGTACATTAAAAATATTGTGTTGCCTTACCTAGCCAAAATAAATAGGGAATAAAACTATAATGAATCAACTGTTGTAGGTTTTCAAGTGTTTCTCCTGTTGTTTGTGTGGGTTCTCTAGCATTAAGGACAACAATGCTACTCAAATTTCATGAAGAGCTGCTATCGTAACTCTCTGTCATTAACCTAATATCAATAACATTGTGTGTTGTGGGGGCAGTTTTAATAAGTCCAATTTACCAGTTTCTGGTGCTTATTCATTTTCTTTGTATAAAAACTTCAGAAATTCAGGAAAGAAGATAAGCAACTTTCAGGAAGTGAAGCTTTCATGAAAAGATCTGATTCCTTGCAAAGAGTGAGGTTTTAGACGTCCTTTTGTAAAATCTAAGTTCCTTGTATGTTTGAGGCTGATTGCCCTTTTGCTAAACTTTTTTAAGGCTGAGCAAAGAGCACGAGAGGAAAGTGAAAGATTGAGGCAACAAGAGCGTGAGCAAATTGCAGAGAAACGGAAAAGAGATCTGGTCTGTAATTTGTTGGACGACTAAATTAAATAAATGTCTATATGAGGTTTGAATGTATATAAGATTATTGTTTTTTAACCACTTCAATCTCCCACTTCTTAGATGCTCAGAGCTCGCGTGGCTGCCAAGGCAGAAGAGAAGAAGTTGGAATTACTTTTTCTTCGATGGAGCGAGCACCATAAGAAACTTAGCAATTTTATAAGGTCTGGTTTTGTTAAATTTTCATGAAAGCACAGGCTCTTTTCACTACTGAGATTACATAGCTATACCATTGATTTCACTTTCTTATTTTATGAATGCAGGTTATTTTTAATTTTGGTCCAAAAGTGTCCATATTCACATTTTATTGAGACAAAGATAAGTTTCCGTTCATGAATAGTGCTGAACTAAATTCATGGTTTTTGATTAAAAAGATACAAAAGAATACTAACTCCAATAGATGTTTCTTGTTCTGCTGGAACTTAAAATTGCATTGTAAGGTTATTTTTTCTTTATAATAGAATTCTCCTTTTTATTTTAAGGGAAACATTTCATGAATTTTGTATTTTCCAGGACAAAGACTGAACCTTCAATTCATTACTTGCCAAATAAACCATTGGACGAGGATGCAACCTTGGTTGAGCAGCGAAAAGAGGAGGTTAGTGCCTAGTTTGAATTTAATTAATTTTTTTCTTGAAAATGTGATTTTACAAAGAGAAGCCTTCTGAAAAGCATCTGCCTTAGCCTATGAGAATTGAATGCTAGTGGCACTGAAATATGAACGGGATATTTTGATTACATATTGATAACATAATATTTGTGCATCTTATTATGTTATCAATGTGTAATCAAAATAAAATGAGAGGTTAGCCTATTGACAAGGAGACATGGGGCCCTGTGGTATCATCTACTAAGGTATTGTGTTCAAATCTTCAGGCGAGATCCTTGATGTCTCTCGAGTTTGGGCCTCGGGATGGTTGGGGTGCCCCCAGTTACAGGGGTAAAAGCTAAAAAGCTATCGGTTCGGGTCATTAAAAAAATGTATATATATATATATTTGTGCATCCTCTTATCTTATACAAATATGCATTTCAGGCTTTTGCGGAATGGAAAGCCTCCAGAAGGGAGGAGTTATCCGAATATCAGAAACAGATTGGAGAACAGTATATTGCAAATGTCGAGAAAGACTTGGAGAGGTGGCAGAATGCAAGGAGAGCAAGAAAAGGAAATAATGATGTATCAAATTTGCAGGAAACCATGGACAAAGAATTGGACACCCATAGACTTGAGCATGGTCCCAAGAAAAGGAACATCCCAGGTGGTAGCAACAATGAGGACGAGGACGATGTGGAAGATATTAACGCTGGAGAAGACGACATGATAGACGACGTACTTGGTGTCGAAGATAATGGACGCAGAGGCGAGGAAGCAGCGAAACCCGAAGCTGATGGCGGCGCGAGCCCAAATGCTGATAATACTGTGCAGTAGAAGTAAGTACTTAATTTGATTTCATGAAGTAGTCCTGTGTTTGTGGTTGTACCTGTTCTGATTTGTCTTACTAGTTTTAGTCTTCTTGCTATTTGAAATATTGTTTGTGTTTGTTAGTTGGGTACAATGGGCTCCACACACTCTCTCTCTCTCTCTCTACACTTTTTTCACAGCCTTCATAGAATTTGTAGGATGCTCTTGTCATATCACCAGGATTGTCTCAAGCATGACTTGCAAAGCCTCAACTTGTTTGGACTTTCAAGTCATGAAATCAGAACTTATGTTGCCATTTTTCTTCCTATAGAATATTATTTTTGCCCTTTCCTTTTTACATGCATTGATTAAAGACTAGGCTATAGTTTAATTGCAGTTGGCCATTATAAACTTTTGATTGACCATAATTTAAGATTAACTAAAGATCTTGGATAACGATTCTGTAATTAATTTATTCCATTATCTGTTGGCATTTTGTTAGGGATAATTTTAAATGGTTGGTTTTTTAAAGACTTTAGTAAAATGTTACAAAAATTAACATGTTAGTAAAATGCTCAATCAATAGTTGACAAAGTATAGATTAATTAAAACGCATTATTTATTGATTATGGATTCACTAGTATCAGAGGTTAAGTAGTTGATGCTCTTTGGATTCTTGATTTTCTTTTTCCTATAAAGAAAATAGGAAATATGTTTAGCCAACTAGAGTACACAATCATTTATCTCTATTTACAAAATTTTATATGCAATAAAAAAAATTTTAATTTAAATTTATGGTCACATTTCAAAATGCAAAATAAATGAGATAAAAATAAAAATTAAAGCACTAAAATAATTATTTATTTAAAGTATAGAACCAAAAAAAGAATATATCTACGGACCAAAATGGTCCACGTGTTGAAAGTAGAGTGACTTAACAGAGCTGAAAGTATTTAAAAGATAAATAAGAAGTGTTTCTAACATAATTAAAACCTATTTTCATTAAAGTTATTTGATTGATGGTTGGCTCATATGAGAAGCTGAGCAGTCTGGTTCGGTTCTTGATTTTGGGGTAAATTGAATCAAAGATAAACATGCGCACCTCTAGAAAGAAATCACTTTTTTACCAGCGAAATATCTTTATAATTTTAAGATGTTTTTGGAGCAAATATTTTAGTATTATTATTTTCTTTGAAAAATTGTTTTAATATAGTACAACACGTAGGGTTGTCAAAAAAGTGTTAGTATAAAGGACGCTACTCGTGGAAATAATGTATTTTGGTAAAGAGGGTTTAATAATATGATGTATTGGTGTTTTGATTTTGATGTTTCAAAAGTGGTTTTAATCTTAATTAGATATGCTTTTCCATGATTGCTATTTACTTAATATTGAGAAATTATTAAAATAACAATTTAAATTTAAAAAATTGCAAAAAAAAAAAAGAAAAACTACATATATACACA